GAGTTAGAGGCAATTGTCCTGGCACCGCTGAACCACTCAACCACTGAACCACTTCAATGGCAGAATCCACACATAAATCTTCAGACAGGACATCCCAAAATTTGTCACTTTCACCGTCGAAAAAAAACCATAGACAAATGGGCGCAAAAAATAGCAAGAGAAATTTAGGGAAAACTGTGGAAAAAAGGATGCAGGATGCAAGGACAAAGTCCCACCACAACAAAAGAAGACACACACAAAAAATATATTTTCTATAAACAAAAAAGAGAAGCAAAGTGAATTTTACGGTAAATTGACTGAGCACAAAAGGCGACCGCGAGAAGTCCTTTTAATCCTTTTATCGATGGATAAAATTGCCACTCAAAAGGTGAAAAACTAAGGGAAAACATTGCCCAGATTCGAATGGACACAATGTCCTGCTGCGAAGCGGCACGCGACTACCAAAGAGGGAGGATATTTCAGCAGCTGCGCATGCGCCAAACGCCAAAGGATATAGGATATATATAATTTAAAAATCGAAAGTGACCAGAAGGGAAAGTCCTACGAAAAGGGGTCGAAAAATGCCGCCTGCGCCTGCGCCTGTGCCTGCGGTCGGCGATACAAATTGAAATGCCAAAATCATTTCCATGGGCCGGAATTATAATTACAAAACCAACAAATGCGATTAACTGGACCAGTCCCCGGGCCTCGCGAATGGAAGGGGGTTGAGAGTTTTGAGTACTAAATTCACGCCTCGCTACACAAAAGCGCTGTAAATTATATTGTTAGCCAGGACAAACTGACCGCCGTCCAGTTTCGTCGTCCTTGCAGCCCGTAAAATTGCCAAATTCCCATAATTGCAGCTCCTGAAACAATGGCAGACGGACGGGGGGAAAATAGAAAATAGAGCGGACATACGGATACGAATGATGGAACCCTCGTCAGAGGCCAATGGAGGGGTTGGTAAATTTTTATTAGTTTGCTGTCATATGCTCATCGATTGTTTGCTTAGGATGCTGATGCTGCTGTTGCAACAAGGAAACACGCACAGGACATGACAGGACATAATCATAAATATGGCAACTAAATTATGAAATCGATGGGAGGCGCAGTTTTTCACTTTTCCCTGAGGCCAATTGGTCACGCTTAGATCTATGTGTATTGTTTATTTTTCATAGAGCAAAACTCGTCTAATGTATACAATAAAAGAATAAATTCTTTAGTTAAGTACAAAAATTAAGTTTTAAATTCATTCTTTGTTTAAAAATTGTAAAGTTGTGTTAAAAAGAATGCAACAAATTGGCTTAACTTACCTTTAAACTTTTCTAGTGGCATAGTGAATGCAAATAGCTTCATAGTTTTCGATAAGCATAGAAATAATATTTCTTATTTTAAGAAATTATAAATTTATATATATATTCATAAAAGGGGTTCATGAATACGGAATGGGCTTAAAACTTAAAAATATATTGAGTTTTATGATTCATGTTTCTTCCTTAAAACGAAAAAGTGTTTATAAAAATATTCAAAATATATTATTAATATTATGCCTTAAATAAAAATTAAAATGAATGTCTTTACTCCCTTTTAATATTTTCATTGTTCCGAAAACGTTATGTAAAATCAATAAATTAAAAATAATTTCTACATACATTTTTGAATTTCGATAAATTTATCTTTTGTGTCTCTGCTAAATAACTTTAGCTTGGTTCGCGCACCAACTAAGTTAGCCAGGACGCATACCCGCCAAGTAGCTGACTACTTTCAATAGCTAAAAGCTAAGCAATACTGCTACTCCTTGCTAAAGCTAACAGCTACAACACTCGAAAAGGCTCTACAATTTTTTTTAGCTTTGTTAAATTTCAAAATTAAAAAATATGAATTTGGTTTGCAGAGTAAAAGGTTAACTGAATACATTCAATATAAAAATGTAGTTATTTTTTCACTTACCGATTTTCTTATTTTTCTTCTTCCTCGTATTTTTCTCGTTGGCCATTGATTAAGTCTCTTTCTTTCCATTCCTTTTTGATTTACACTTACAGAATTAAGAACACTAATTTTAGTAATTAAATAAACCCTTAAAAAAAATAAAAAAATATTTCGTAACTCGTGGACAAAACGAGAACTTATAAAACACTTAAAAAACAATAAAAAAAAAAAATGAAAAGGAATGGAAAGAACGGTGAAATTGCACACACAAACACACCAATGATCTCCGGCATCGGCTTTGCACCTTTTTTTTATTCACTTAAACACGCACTTTAAACACTTTATATTCACTTTTATATATTTATATTTACTTTTATTTATTTGTTTTTGCATTAAATAATGCTTATTTGCATGTATTTCTATCTTATTTTCCTTTTTTGCGGCGGGAATTTTCCACTCACACGCACACGAAAAAATGCGAAGGCTCCAATACACACAAACATAATGGCGGCTGCTGGTGGACTCCACTGGTCGCGGGAGTCTTAAGTGTTTTTATTGTAGTTTTAGTGGTTGTTGTTATTAAATGTTATAAAAACATATTGTTTTTATCACTTGCATAATTATTTATTTGGTTTACTTCGGCACTTGCACAATTTTCGGTTTTTTCGCACCTGTTCGCCGCTGTCACCATTCCAATTGGGCAGCGAAGCTGCGCTCAAATCGTTTTTACATTATTTCTTGAAAAATTCGAGTGTTTAATGTTTAATAACATTATCCCCGTATACAATGCACTTAGTTGAATTGATTTATACATTTAGTAGTTATTTTTAAACACTTTTAACGAGCTAAAATCGTTTTTTCGCAGCAGCACGCCTGAATTTTCACTTTCGCAATGCGATCTCGCTCTTCTTCTTTTTTTTCAATCGCTCTCTCTCTCGCCACTCTTTCGTTGCGGTACGCGTTAGTACCAAATCGTAAATACCGCACGCCAGTGTGAATGTTTTCAGTTCAACGAGCGAGAGGGAAGAGAAAACAGAAGATCAACATGGCCAAAGTGAAAAATTAAAGTTGCTGCTGCTAAAAAACGTTTATCGTCTGAAAAAACAAGTGATAATACCTAGCAAACGATTAAATCAGTTAAACTAACTGCGCTTTATGCGGGAACACTTAAGTAAGCATAAAAGAAGTGAATTTAAATGAGATTGAGGACTTTATTGTGAAGTGAGCGCAACTTCTCCGTCCAATTGGAATAGTAACAGCGGCGAACAGATGCAAAAAACCGAAAATTGTGTAAATGACGGTGTTAACTTAATAAATAACTATGCACGTGATAAAAACATGATGTTTTAAAACATTTAATCAGTTAATAAAGAATAACAACCACTAAAACTGCAATAAAAACACTTGAGACTCCCGCGGCGAGTGGAGTGCAGCAGCCGCCGCCGTTATGTATGTGTGTGTGTTGGAGCCTCTACATATTTGCGTGTGTGTGTGATTGGAAATTCCCGCCTCAAAAAAGCAAAATAACTAAAGAAATAAATGTAAATATAAACCAATAAATGTAAACATAAATAAATAAAAATAAATACAAATACATAAATTAAATGATACAATTAATGTTTTTAACTATGTGAATAAAAAAATGTTAAGGAAAGAAAGAGACAAAATCAATAGATAGAGATGGAAATTAATTAATTAAATTAATTTTCTATTAAACGAGGAAAAAAGAAAATTAAAAAGATAATAAGAATATTGGTAAGTGAAATAATTATTTAATTTTTATATTGAATATATTATCCCAAATAACGATTCCGTTTGACTCATAATGCAAAAACTGTGTTCTTCGGCTTACGATATTTGTTTAAAATAATTTCATATATATTTAATCCCGAAACGAATAATTAAGGCAAATTATGGTGAAATAATTTGAGTATTTCCTTTTGCTAACTTAATGAACATTAATAATCTTACCAAACTTCCCTTGATTAAAACTCTTTAAATAATTTTATTGTTTTCTCGTTTAATATTTATTTCTCTCGGGGCTTTTTCCATTTTCTTCTAGGATTATTTTGGGGGAAATACAAATACACAGGTAAACCGAAAGATAATTCCAAGCAAACTGAACATTTCACACGGTTTTAAGGGGAATACAATATATGTACGTACTAGGGGTCCCATAAACAATGTCCTACGCGTCCATTAACTACGAATAATACAAGTTTGACTCATCTGAGTCCTTTAAATGGATTGGGTGGGGTCTTTGAGTTTGTGAATCTGCATTCGGATTTGGGTCTGGATCGTCTTGGTTGAGTGCGACTCGCTAAGTGCGTGCGTCTAATATTATCTTCTATATATATGTTATTTATATATATGATCGTAAGGGTGTATATATTTATCTGGTGTTCGATTGTGTTGTGGCCTTTTTTTGTGATATTTCGCTTAGTAAACTTGATTGCATTTCTTGTATTGTATTTGCGGTTTCCATACGATTATGTTTAACTCTTACTGGGTATTACTTTCTGTTTCTCTGATATTGAAGTGCTGCTTATATGATCATTTCGAACTGAGGATACCATAACAAAGAAAGTGTTGTACTTCTATAAGTTGTGAACTCTCTGCCTTGGAATCTCCATTAAATTGCATTCAATGGAGAGGTGATCCTTGGCTCGTTCTTTATTTTTTGTTGTTGTTTTTTAATTCCCTAAAAATGTATGCATATATTTAAAATACGTCCCCGTTTTCGAGGAGGCTACAGTAAAACATTTTCAATGCGCCAAGCTGCGAAGCTTTCAAGTCTTAACTATTTCAATCAACTACCAAGTAAAGTGTATAATTCCGTATAATTCGAAAATTGTTATCTCTTTTCTATTTGTTAAAAAAAAGAACAACAACTCATCATCAGCAGGATATACTGGCTTCCTTTTTTGTTTATTTTGTTTTTTTTTTTCGTGTTGTCTTGTGGCTTAGCAGTCTAGAGATTAACTTCAGTGGAGAGATGTTTCTAGTTAATTACGCATTGCTGTAAAAAGCAATCGGCTAAAGTTCAATATAAAGACAAAAATATTATTGTTACCAGAAGAAAGCTTTGGGTGTGTGTGTGTGTGAATCTAGCAGAGGCGAAAGCAGCCCAAGTTTACATTTATTTTTGTGTATATTCTTCAGAGTGTTTAGAAAGTGGGTTTTTCAGTGTGTTTTTTGTGTGATACCAAGATTAGAATATGCCTTACCTTAACCAACACTGGCTGTGCTGGAGGTTTCTTCAAAAAGAGAGTTTTCGGGAATAGAAATTTTTAAAGAAGAATTTAAGAAGTAGGTTCTATTTAGAACTGAACTTAAGAGGAATAATCATATAATGTCACTAGATTCATTCTTTCTGTGAATCTTTATTTGTAATCATTAAAGATAATAATTATTAAGTTTATAGCAAAGTTAAAAGCTTTAAAATCTGATTTCCTATCCCAAAAACTCTCTTTTGAAAACCCCTCCCTGCTTGCCATCTCATACCTAACCTAATAGTTCTATAACTTGATGGTTCCCCTTTCGATTTCTGCTATATTTGGTTTCTTTATCACATGCTTTGCATTTCGGCTGCTCAAAACGTATGTCTGTATGTGCGTGTATATAGTGTATATATATTGTAATCCCGATTAGGGATCCCCTTAGAGCTTGTCCAGATCCGGTTGCTCCGGTTCGGTTGGACTGATTGGTGACATTTCCACACTATCCAGTAGAGGGGTCTTCTCCTCGCTACAGCTGCTTCCGGGTGCATCATCCATATCCATCACAAAGATCCTTGAGAGATCGGCACCACTGAGGGTCAATCTGGACGGTGATTCGTCCACCGAGCTGCTGGTGCTGCTGCTGCTACTGTTGCTGTTGCTGTTGCTACTGGTATTTGGGGTAATGTGACTCCCCTGGTGATTCCCCTGGACTGTGGTGCTCGGTATGATGATGGTGCTCTGATCGAGGGACTTGGAGGGCGTGCGATAGCTGGCAGTTGCTGAGGTGGCCACTAAATTCGATTGGCTGGACTGAGCGGACAGCGAGGTGGTCTTTATATTGGTCGTCTTCAGGTGGCTCCCAATGGAGCAGCTGCTACTCCATCGGCCACCCTGAGGATGCTTCTTCTGATTGTAATGGGGCTGATTGTACTGTAGCCCCTGGCCCTGTTGCGATGATGCCATGGTATTATTGTCATTATCGTTGAAGCTCATCTCGTCCTCGCTGTGTGTGTTATTAATGGCCGTCTGTTTAAGCCGCACCAGATGTCTTTCCGAGTATGATTTGCGGGCATCCATTACCCTCAAATAGTCGGAGGATTCGCCCAGATCCTCACTCTTGGAGCTGCAGTATCTGGCCGCATTGCGTGATCCACCGCTTCCATTGCCACAGAAACTGGTGGTCACACTGAGCATCTGTTGGCTTCCACTCAGCGATCTCCGACTGGCCTGGGAGCTGCTCCTGCTACTCTCATACTGATTGTCCCGCAACGAACAGGGCGAGATCCTTGGCGAGGGATTATTCTCCATCAGGGAGTCATTGCTCTTGGCAATCCTGTTCTTTCTATAGAACTTACTGTCCCGCCAGAGGGTTTGCCTGCCGGTGCGTTGCATCTCGATGCTATTGCTCGGATGACTGGGCGGCGTCTGGCTGGTGGGCGTGGCCGTGGGTGAATCCTGACCCTGACCCTTGCTTATCCGAAAGGAGGCATGTGTGAGCTTCTTGTATTTCTCACTCTGCATATTCACGCGATTGTCCGAGTGGGTGCGATCTGTCATTGGTAGAAAGGCATTGTCAATGCGACGCTCCTCCTCCAAGGAGCGGAAGGCCAGGCGATTCACATGCTTCAGATGCTGCTTGTCAGAGGTTCGCTTTGGGGACATGTCCTCGAAGGAGCTCACCTGGAAGGGAAACTAATTAAGATTTCTTACACAGACTGAGACAAGAATATATATATTTCTATACAGAAAATAGATAAATGCAACTTGTTATATATTTAATCTCTCTATTATCTTGATTTATGATATCTTCAAAGTCTTACTCACCCGATATTTCTGCGAAAAGACCTCTATCATCCCTGATCGCTTTGAGGGCGATGTGGTGTATATAGAGTTCTGATCGTTGACCAGAATCTTGGGCGGATCAAACTGCTGCTGCTGCTGCTGGGGATGGCCTTGTCCCTGTCCCTGAACCTGACTCTGGGCCTGACCTTGACCCGCATTACTGTTGGAGGCCAGTGAAGAGCTGCTCGAATTGCTGGTAGCTGTTACCAAGATCTTTGGTGACAGTGAAACTGGAAATTGCTGGGGACGTATGTTCCCATAGGAGCCACAATTGGAACCCGATGAAGTGGAGCCCGTGCCCGACATGGCATCATCAATGTGGAGAAAGTTATTAGGAGAACTCTCACGGCATGGCGAGGAAATGGCCGAGTCCTGGGACACCATGCTCCGGGGAATGGTGGCCAGCTCCAGGCAGGTTTCATTGCCACCCGTGGTGGTGGCTATGATGATATCCTCCACGCCCTCGTCAATGGGCGAGGATATAGACTGAAAGCTGCTGAGCCGTATGCTAGAAGAGCCGATGGACAGGTCGTTGTCGGTCAGTGAACCAAAGGCCGAGTCCTGGGAGGGATTACTGCGGCCATACTTGAGGCACTTCAGCGAGTACTCCAGCCGCCGGCTCTTCGAGTTCTTGTAGTTGCACATATCGGCGGTGAGCTGGTGATTGAAGGAGGCTCCAGCCGCCGACGAAGTGCAGGCTGGGGCCTGCAGTCTCTGCGAACCCGATGAGCCGCTGGCCTCCTCCTCCTCGAGAACCTCGAATTCCTCCACCTCCACCTCCTGGGCCTCGTAACCATCCTCGGTGGCTGTGACTCCCTCGGCCAGCAGGACATTCAAGTTGCTCTGACTACTGGTACTACACCGAATGGTCGGTGGCTGATGCTCTTGTCCCGTCTCCGGCTCGTGGCCATTGTCATCCGAATAGAGAGCAGCCGGGTCACAGTAGTGAATGGGCGACTCCGAGGGCGGTTCGTATGAATGGATATATGAGTGGGCCGAGTGCCATTGCTGCAGGCGTAGCAAGTGCTGCCGATGGCAGCTACCACCGACCACAATCTCCTCCAGCAGACCCTCCTCCGAGTCGCTTGATATGTCAAATGAGTCCATTGTTCGGCTGATACTGTATGGCCGGGCGGGCGGCGTATCCAATAGAGAGATTTTTTGGGGAAAGAGGTCAGAGAATAACAATCAGAAATTCAGAATTTTCAATCCGACTGCGGCACCTGGTTCGGATTTCTATTGTGTGTTCTTTGGATATGCATAGAAGCCATGGCATGTCACTGGATGCGATGAGTGTGTTGTGTTTTTTTGGTGAGTGGTGCTACTGCAATAGAAGCGGCAAATACGTGCGGGTTTTCCAATCGAGACCAAGTCCCCTGCTCTCCCATAAAAAAACTCAATTAGTGACCCATCAAAACTACAAGTCAGCTGATATCTCAGAGTTTTCCAAGACAGACATGTGCTAGCCATGATACAAGGATATCACAAAGGAGCGATTGAAAAGTAGGATATAAGTTTGGAAGTATTTTAGTTGACAAAAAAGCTCTCTAAAGTCTTTATACAACTTTAATTAAGCCACAGATTTATATAACTACTAAATACTACAATTATAATTATGAGCTTTGAGTTTTAATACCCATTTTGTAAACCCAAAAAATTACATTTCAAATTATATACTAATCACTTTTTAAAAATCATACTACAATAGAAAACATTTAACCTGCTAGGAAAAGGGCATTCAGTGCTTAATAGAAAACAAATATTGCTTTGGTATATATATATTTCTCTACATCATGCAATCAACAATATAAACACCAACATTTGTTTACAGGATTTATGGTGAGATTTAAGCAAATAAGCTACAACACAAAACACACACAGGGATATAGAGAAAATTGATTATGCAAACTATAAAATCTAAAAAAAGTAGTTGAATGTAGTTAAATGAATAAATAAATATATGTTTTCTGGACTTTCTGCTGTTGTTTGTCCCCTTTCATCAATGGAGATTCAATTTGGCTTTACTTTGAGGTGGTGCAAGTGGTGTTTGCTTGCTTTGCGTAGCTTGCTGGCTGGCCATGGTGGTGCAGTGGATCGTACAAAAAAAAAAAAACATTGCCACTTACCACAATTACCTATGACATATATTGTTATTAATTTTTCATTTCAATTTGATTTCATTTTCCATTTGATATATATAAAAATTACATGTTCGTATAAAAAATGGCATGTTTTGCTGACTTTTTTTTAACATACTCTGCAGTTTATGATTTTATTTTCAGGTATTCATTTTATTCAGGTATTCATTTTGTTTCACACGATATTCATTTTTGTAAAATTTAATTGTGAGATATAATTTTCTTTTTTTTTTGTGAGTTTGGTTTGGGTTTTTGGGTTTTCTTTCTTTTTTTGTTGGTACGGTTCAGTTGGGTTTTGGTTTCGGATTAGTACATACGAAAGACTTCATAGGGCGCAGGCAGAACACTGTTGTTATAGTTGTTGTTGTTGGAGTAGTTGTTGATGTTGGAGTAGTTGTTGTTGGAGTTGTTGTTGTTGTTGGTTTTTTATAGTTAGTCGAACGGGTTATGTAAATAAACAAATGCAAAAATGCAAGAGTTTGTAAATCAAAAACAAAACACACACATAGGTGATGTAAACAAAAGTGAACGTTGATAGACATTCGAGGGCGGATCGGTATGTGTGTAGTAGATGATGGGTTTGGTGTAGCGGCAACTGTAACGGTAACTGCAACGGTAACGGGATTCTGGGCGCTTTCGCAACACTAAGATAGTTTTTAAACACACAGATACACACACACACAACAGAGTTGAGTAGTAGTAGTAGTAGTAGTAGTAGTAGTAGTAGGAGTAGTAGTAGTAGGCGGTAGTAGTAGTAGTAGTAGTAGTAGGAGAGAAAGAGAGAGTAAAACATTGCATACGGAAAAAATACTTTAGTTGAAAAATCCTCCACTACATAAAATTGTTTTAATTAATTAATGTAAGTAAAAAACATGCGTTTGGAGTACGTATTTAATTAATATAATTTTTTTAATATTCTGAGGCAGCTGAGTAAATTTACACTGGGTCATTGGGATGCTTAAAAAATATATACATGAAGCAACAAAATGAGGACACTTTTTTTTTGTTTGTGGGACTTTTTCTCTCGCCCTCGCTCGTTTTTTTATCACTTAATTATATTCCCTGTCTTGTATGCATAATTTTAAAATTCTGCCTACGGCTCTGGTGAATGGGAAATGGGGTATGGGGTATGGGTCAGGCTGAGCAAAGTCCAGGACATTACCATAATTACCTTTAGGCACGCACTCACACACACAGATACAAACGCACACACCCGAAGCCACACGCACATCATCATCAAGCTTTGGGCCATATTCTACGCTCTGCCATCTGCCATCTGTCCCGTGTGTTAGTTTCTCTCGCTTTTCTGGCCCATCTTTTCTTGCTCCTGCCTTTTTGTTTAACCTCTCCATGGGTGTGTGTGTGTGTATGTGTGTGTGTGTGAGCCTCTCTTTATTAGCCCGAAATGCACAAGACACAAGAACAGCTGGATTAACAGGCCCAGAGCGTGGCTTAAATTGGCGCCCAACGTGGGGCGGAGCTAGGACTCTACTACAAGGCTGTAAGAAGTATTTTGCATTTTGGTCTTTGTGAGAAAACAAAGCTGCAATGGTTCTTTGGAATACAAAAGGATTTCCAGGAAATCGTAGTTCTATGGAGTTTAAGACAGATTTTGGATTTTAGACCTTATGTGGTGAGGCACCTTATCATAATTCATAAAGCTTTAACTCTTTAAGAAGGAATTCATATTTATTAGGGTAAGTGAGTTTAAATTGCTTAAGAAGGTTTTTCCAGTATTCTTGATAGATAACTTTAGGTTTAAGCTTAGGATGTCTAATATAAGGACATTAGACTTTGTCTGGTTTAAAGAATAGTACAAGGTCTATGAGACTTTATTTTATATCAGCTCAGAAACGACTATTTGTTCTAGAGGTTCAAAATCAATTTAAAGAATGGTTAATATGTTATTAAAACATGACTATTATTATTAACAACACAAAATTAAATAAAATTACTTTAGAAACATAAAATCAAAAAGCATTCAAGGGTCTTAAAGTTATTTAACATATCATTTAGTTTAGGTAAACTCAAAATTTGGTTATTGAATATAAACTTTCATCAAATCATTAAAAGATAGATAGATATTCATTACTTTAGCTAAATAACTATCTATAGTTTTAAATAAAAATTAAGGTACTATCATATCCCATTTGAGGCCTCTTCATATACTGATTTCTATATAAATATATCTCTGATGACTAAATTTCTTATAAATCCCGATCCTAATACACCGAGTAACATGACACGACGATGAATAGTGTACAGATTTGTTTGTGTTTGGTGAGAGGGGGGACTTTTGTGATTTATGCCGATGACTGATTAAGTGAAAAGTTGGCAAGTTTGCTTCTAGGTGAAAAGCTAAGAAACAACAAAGCCATTAGAGGAGAAAACTCACCCAGTGCGTCGATCGTGCGGTGTCGAGGGCGGTGTGCAGGGTGAGTTTGCCTCGCTGAGAGAGTGGCCCAGTGAGGCGCATTGGCGCTTCTTAACCGCATGCAGCAGATTTAGGGTGGACCTGCTGAGGCTCGGCTTAATTGTCTGCAAGAAAAATAATATAAATATCTAAGGAAGGAAATATAATAACAATACTTACACTAAAACAGGGGCCACGCAGCTCGCGCAAATCGATGCTGCGAAAGAGATCGCACAGGACTAGGTCCTCAACGGAGGGGCAGACACCGCTAGGCGGTTCAAAGATTAGACCTAATATTTCCAGAATCTGTAAAACAATATATATATTATTATATATATTCGAATTATTCATAATACCATAGTTTTACCTGGCCAATTTGTGGGTAGTGCTGCATCTCCATTTCGAGCACCCGCATGGACGGCTTGGGTGTGGTCAGCTCCTGGCCCGTGCACATCTCGTACAGCAAATGGCCAAAACAGACAATGTCCACATTCTCGATCTCGGTTACCGAGCGGGACCACATGACGGCATTATTCCTTGAGCTTAAGCCCAGTAGGCCATTCTCCAGGCCAGATAACCTGTTGGGCAAAGAAAACAAAACACATGTCACGGAGAATGCATTATTGAATGGCAAACCCACTCCCCCTTCTTTCTTGGATCTTAATTATGCAACACATTCGATGGCGGTTCCACACAGACCAGTATTGATGGCCAACACGTGCCTACTTTTATGGATTTCTGTGCGAATGAGAGGGGTTTATGCCATATCCACCATACCTGTGAGCCTTTTATGACAAAGAGCGTATGTCAGGCTTGATATGACAATATTATGACACTACCTACAGTGTCCTGGGCTCTCGGCTCAAGGGTCCTGTCAGTATTCATTAGAGCGCAGCTATTGCTGACTAGCCGAAAAAAGGTCACCCAAATTGGCTGACAAAAGGCGTTCAGAAGATGCTGTGCGGGATAGTTGAAGGATTTCATTTTGCCAAAGGTATGCTAATTAAGCCACACAAAAATGTTAATTAAGCTGGAGGTATAAGAACTTGAACTTTACTTAAGTAAAGCTTAAGCTTGCATACTCAATTAAAATCTTGGTAAATAAAAACTCTCCTAAGTGGTTAGCTATTATTTTGCTTTAGATTTGATAGCACTGATTTATCTTATTGCTTTTCCTATATCCTTTTCTTGATTACAATTTCAAGTAGAGATTGAGAGCAAGGGAAAGACTATTGAGTTTCCTAATGCAATCCCACTTGTACAAGTACTTTGCTTTGCCACTCCATCAATCAGCTTTTCAGCTTTTCTACTCTGGCAATGGACTTTTTACAACCCTGTGACCCTATCGATGGCTGTACATATGTATATGAGCAATTTATATGAAAATCAGCTTTCCCTTTCCCTCCATTTTCAACTAAATTGGGTCATGCACTTGGCGCAAACTTAAACAAAGAAAAAGCTAAAAATAAAAATCCGCTCTTTCATTGACTTTTACCTATAGGAATTTCTGCTATGCCCCTTCCCATCGTCAAGCTGCAATATAAGCATTTTTTGCGACGAACATTTATTTTTAAAATGGCAAAAAAGGACTAAAGCAAAAGCTTTATTTTTGTTACACCCATTCGATGTTTCCAAGTGGGTGGCACTGGGGCTGGGCGCTTTACGCGTTGTCGCACAGCAGTTACAAGGACCTGGATGGGCAGGAGATGGGGCAAGGGCTCGGGGGGACATGCATTTAAAGTCAACGATTCCATTGAATTGCTTTTAATTTGCCATTTAGGCTGGAATTGTTTCCCTTTTTTACCCCCCATGAATTTGCATAACTGAAAATGTTGCCACCGCTTCGGTATCAAATATTTTTCAGTCATTATTGAATTAGTTCATGGATGAATGAACCCTGAGGACAGTGGACAATGGACTCACCTGGCTGCCCCATTCTGCAGGATGACATTGCCGCTGTGCAGGTGACCATGAAGCGGAAAGCCGCGCTCCTTTAGGAAGAGCAAGGCCTCCAGGATTTGACGCCCCAGGCGCTGCACTTGGCTCACTGGCAAACCATTTGGCTTACGCGTGTACTTTTTGGCCCATGGCTCGTTCCACTGTGCCTGCAAAGGGGGAGGTTTCATTATTATTAAATTCAATTTAAATGTTATTTAAATTTAAGTGAACTTACTTTATATATGAGATCCTTGAGGCTGCCGCGTGAGTTGAAGGGCGTCACCAGGCAGGCATAGTTATGCGAGCTGTTCCGCAAGAAGCCCAGATCCAGCACGGGATATATGTAAGGATGATGCAGTGAACCTAGGAGCTCCATAAGGATCTCCCTGGCACACTCATTGGGCGGCAGATCCTCAAAGGCCACGCAGTCGGGGGCAGAGGTAGCAAAGTCAACAGACGATCTGTGCGAACCTATTAAGAAACCCAAAATTTTAAACTATAAACTAAGGGATCTTAAGAAGTAATAACCTACCGAAGCATCTGTGACCAGAAACCAGTTCTTGCCATGCCTGGAACCGATCTCATCCAGATGAGCTATCACCTCGTAACGTCCATTGGCACTCTGAATCCATTCCTGGGTGGCATTCAAGGCCTTCTCCCTTTGGGCCCGCTCCCTGGGACTCCGCTCCACGATCCCATTGCCGCTGTCCAAGGCGGAATACTGATACTTGATGTTGGGCCTGAAAAGTTTTCATTAAATTTTAATTCTTATGTTTGTTTAAGTTCACAAATAATATTGTTGATAGAGAGCATACGTAGTTAAAGAATTGCTAACTAAGGAAACTTTGTTTTTTTTTTGTATGTTACAACTAAAACTAAGAACTAATCATGAGGTTCTTTTTTTTTTAGTAAACGCTTTACAGCACACTTTGGCAAGGTATTATTTACAAAAGACCATTAGGGGAGAGAGGAGACAATTAACATAAATTTATCCCACAATTTGCAAAGTATTTCATTGTCCTTCCATTTCAATTATGTGGTTTCATGTTGAATAATTTATTTACAGGGATTTTGTTTGCTGATTTCTCAGTATAAGGAATTTTAGGGCAGATAAATTTCACAGGTTCATAATTTATGGTGTAATACCTTGGTATTTGATAATGGAATTTTATGCATTCAATTTAGTTATGGATTGTTATAGCTTTATGAAGAAACATTCATAGATGTTAAATGTAATTATTAAAAAGGAAACCGTTGAAAGGGACGTCTTTCAATATTTAATGTTTATGTTATTTATTGTTTATCTTTTAAAATTCAGTTTTTTATTGGTATTAATAAAGAACTGAATTCTTGTGCCCTTTGGCATTTTATATCAATTTACATATTAGAGAACCAATCATATATTCAAGGTTATTATTTTCATATAAATTTCCTGATTATGAATATTAAAGAGTGTAAAAATTTCGCCTAGAGAAATATATAAAAAATCTATCAACTAAACCGCTGACTGAAATATTTAACAAATTCAAAATTGACCAGAAAACAATGCCCAGAAGACCTCGATAAAAAAAACCGCATCAACATCTGCACAAGCCACAGGACAATTGCCAAAAAAAAAAATAAAAAAGGGAGACGGAGACACAAAATAATTTGCACAGCCAAATTTTTTCTCGTTTGGCAGGAAGTTGAAAGGTGCCGCAGGACGAAGGAATTTGCAACTCAATGAGGAGAGCGGAAGAGCAGGGACAGGCCAGAGGAAGAGGAAGTAAACTGCCTGCACAATGGCGCAGCGGAAACGGAAGCAAGAGTTTATCATTTCATTTCGTTTAGCTTTGGTCTCGTTTTTTTCCTTGATTTGTTTCTTACTTGTTTTTATTTTATTTATTTTTGTTGCAAGTGAAGAGTTAGAGTGCAAAAAGAAAAGCAACAGAAAATGGAAACGGTGTCAAACGAAATAAAAAGAAGGAAGAAAAGCCAAACAAACTGCACTCACTTGGGAGGCTTAACAAAGAGACAGAGATAGAAACTGAGATTAGAAAGAGCAAGAGACACAGAGAGGCAAAATAACAATTGTAACAAAAGAGGAGAAAGTAGAAAGAGATAGAGAGGGAGAGGGAGGAGAGTGTGAGCAGGACAGTCTTCATAAACAAACACTTACGGCCACTCAATCAAAACAGAGCGAAGGTTAAGCACATCCTCGGGTTAAGTTTAGCATGTGTTTGAAAATTTAATAAGGCACAAAACGAAAGGCAGTCGGCAGGGGAGGGAAGAGGGAGATGAGAGAGGGACAGAGGGGGACAAAGTGAGAGTGAAAGTGTGTTCGTGTGCGGCATAAAATGTTGGCCAAGAGGCTTCCTTTCCTTTCCCCAGATCCCTCTGCTCCTTCTGCCTCAAAATCCATTTCACTTTCATTGCGTCACAAGAACTTACAGAAACGAAAACGAAATGAAAATAAACACAAATACACGCAGAGAAAAATCATGGTAATACTAGTTTTGTATTAGAAATTAAATATTGTAAAATAGAGAAGGGAAAAATAATAAGGGTTAAGCAAGTCTTTGAAGTTATGTGTATTTAAAGGTCGTACTATCCTCGAACTCAAATAAATTAATTCCTGTATTGAAAAACACTTTTAAAAAGTGTCTAAAAGATTGTTAAAAAATATTTTTAAATCGAATTTCATAGTCAAAAGAAAGCATAACACTAATTAAATAATAAAAACTTTGTTCCTTCACTTAAAATAAAAGTTATTTCCTATTTATTGCCTAATTTTGAACTCGATTTTAAATTAATTAAAAATCTGCAATCATAAGATAAACCTATAAAAAGATAGACTTTCTGAATCTATCTATCATTTATAAATATGCACCAAAATTTTGCAATTAATAACCAATTGTATAAGCATTTTCTCTCTGTGTAGTACTCATGTGTGCGTTAGCTAGACCAGAACAACCAAATGCTGGGAAAACTCTTTTGCCCGTTGCCTGTCTCTTTAAGCGCATGGCTTGCGCTTTTGGCCAACGGTGCGTATGTGAAATATTTCTCATTTCCCTGCTGTTCAAGGCCTTGACTCCGATTGCAGCTCTCACACCGTTCCCCCAATGAATGTGTATGTAGTTAGTATGTGTATATATGTATATGTTCCAAGGGTGTTTCACCAGTTTGTTTGTTTGTTGATTTAAGCTAATTTTTGTTGCAAAGAAAAAAAATAGAAAAACTAAAACCCAGAGAGGTGACTTCCTTTCGTTTATCTTCTTGGTGATATTGCAGTTTAAATATTTGCAAAACACTCGACACACTTGTTGTTTGCCAACTCTGGAAAAAGGTGAGGAGGAAATAAGGAAAAGCAAGCTAAGGCTGGCCAGATTTGAACTCACGGATGTAGTAAGAAATAAATTAAATTCTCCAAGGAAACTCTTTTTACTTTTATTAAAGGGAATATATGGGAAGCCGCTCTTGATACTTTTAAAGTGTCAGATAGAATCAAGATGCTGGAGCTTTATTTTGAAATTTATTTAGCTTCCTTTCCCTCAATTTGAAAGCCCCACCAATAACCTTTAATTAAAAAATATAAATTTACAAAGTCAAACCCTTTTTCAAGCTTCAGTTTCCGCGTTCATTAATACAAAATTATGAAGCATCTGTGTACTCATGGAAATAAACGAACCGAAGAGCTTCAGGGCCACAGATACAAGCATTTGTCAGATACATAGATACCTTTTGGGGCCAGGAGAGATACCACACCTATTGAAGGGGGGAAGAGCTGAAGTTCTTCAAAAAATGTTTGGATGCCGCGCGTAATTAACGTGCTCGTGTGTGAAATTTTTTATTGCATACTTTGCAGCACTCACACATGCACACTCATCTGCTCGTTAGGGGCACCACACACACACACACAGCACACCTATCACACACACCTCCACATCGACAGACACTTATACACACGAACAGATGCTCACGCTCGCTTGCACATTCATCATACGGCTCAGCACGTGGCCGAAAGGGGGGGGGGGGGGGCAAGGGGGGAAACCAAAAAGGGCGGACACCCATGCACACACACACACCCATACACATACATGGCAGGCACACACAGATACACACAGGCACGAATCAATTTTTCGCCTTTTTCGAGCAAACTTTTGCTGAGGTGATAATTTAATTTGCAATTTTTGAACACTGAAAAGAATTTTAAATACATGGCAATAGAGACCAATTATATAAAATATATAATATAAATAAAACAATAATAAATACCATTGATATTTATAAATATAATCTAAAAAACTAAATATTTAATTTCCTAGATTATAGTTTATATTAATAAATATAAAATTATCATAATTTTGGTATTAAATAAAACATTTTTTGGAATCACATTGGCCCTAATTTCAACCTAAAAATTTGGTTCTTATATTTCTGTAATGATAATTAAATTATCATAATTTCGGTACTACAAACACCTTTATTAATTCACAAAATCTAACCAAATTTCAACCTAAAAATTAAGTATTTCTTCATTTAGATTCAAATATTTTTGTTAGATAATTAAATTATCATAATTTCGGTCTCAAAAAACACGTTTAACAAGTTCACATCGACCCATATTTCAACACCTCTTTTTCTGCCAGTGTATTTTGTATGCCAGGGCATCTAATTTAAGGAATTTTCACCTTGGCAAAACTTTCACCTGCCTTTTTTTTGGAACAAAAGAAAGGGGAGAGAGAGGGAGAGGGGGAATTCAGTACAGCGGAAAATGCATTCTATCATCGCATTTAATACTTTGACTTTGGCACTGCCTTTGGCTTTTCATTCGAAATGAGAAAACTTTCGAGAATAAAGTTGCGGGGAAATATTTCGCAACAGAGGAGAAAAGAAGAGTCAGAAGAGCCAGAGATATTTCGCTGAAAGTCAAAGGGAAAATAAGGGGAAATTGATATTATATATAATATATATACATATTTCAAATACAATTATCATTGCCCACAAAAGCTTTCAAGTTAATTAATTATTTTGCTGCGGCTCAACCCTCTTGAAAAATCAGATGGGTTTTTCTTTTTCAATTACACTTGTGTGTTATCTCTATGTACGGGTGCATTTGTATTATTCGAATAAAAAAGGAATGGTTCAGTGTGATTTCTACAGAAAAGAAATCTACGTGTGGCAAACATTAAAAGCATTTCAAGTTTTCTATTATTTTTTATTTTGACATGCAAAGAGTGCTGTTCGAGCTGGAATAAAAAATCAACTGAATCGAAACGAAACAAGCAAAAGGAAAAAGAAATGGCACTTGAGAAAATTATGGGATCTGTACACTATAGTGAGTGAAGAATCTCAAGTATTAGTACAAGCTAATTACAAAAAATAGTATTAAAATATATATATTTAGTATAGTATAGAGTAGAGTAGTAAATGCAACCTTGTATTCAGTACAGAATCTATGGTATCTCTACTTCCGGTTTCCGCTGGCATCGACTTGCTAAAGAAGAGCCTAGCTAGATTGTCTAACCTCGCGCTAACCAGCGGCGATTTCTCCGAGTGCTCGGATTGATCTGAGTTATCTTGCTCCGAGCTCGCCGACCGATTGCTGCAAATAGAAGGGGTACACAAATGGTGTGGTTTGCGTGGTTTTGTGGGTGTAATTTGTTTGGTATTTGGATTCATTGGGTTTTGGTTTTTGGGCATAAAGAAAAACATGAAAATAAATGAATGAAATCAGCATTAAGTGTGTGTTCTCTTCCATTTTGTCGGTCTGTCAAAGAAGCTTCACTGAATCAAAACTAAAAATGTGTCACAAAACTAAAGTATAACTCCGAGGAGCTTGTGCACTGTGCTAGGTGGTTTGATTCGCCCACACATTGCAAAAGTCCTATATACACACACACACGGACGGGCGTATATATATATAATCTATATATATCTTGATTTAGATCGGGTACTCACCTACTATAAATCTGGCGACGATTGGCGGCCGTCAAAGCCGAGACATCGAACTCAATTGCTGAATTGGAGCGTTTCAGGCCATTCGCCTTGTGCAGCTTCTTCATAATGTGCTTCACTTTCCTATCGAATTGGTTATCGGTTATCGGTTATCGACATCAAATCGGTTGCATTTTCGAATTGAAAAACAAATACACACACTCATTGGCAGACAAAACTCACGACTTACATATTAGACTTTATGTTACAGAGTTGGAAAAGCATTGGTTGTTATAAATACCTTATTTTAATAATGAAGTGTATCAAAATTATCGAAAATGTATTGTTTTTGTAAGTAATAATTTGGTAAATAATCGAATGGGATGATAAAGTTTCTCAAATAGATTGGTATTATATTATTTCTTGTCTAAATTCGATAGCAAAATTTATAAATAATTTGGTTAATCTACAATAGAATATGATGTTAGTAAGGCATTCAAATTGTTAGTAAACATATAACAAACCTAAGCAAATGTTTAATAATTATTTTAAAATAATTTGGAACTTTGTTTGAGAAGGGGAAAAAGTAAAAGAGCTTAAAAAAAGTTCGTTTTAAAATCGGTTTTAAGAATTTTAACATTTAAACAAAGTCTTCCCTGTTGAATGTTAAATAAGTTTTTAAACCAAGAATGTATATTATTTTTTGTATACAAAATAATACAATTTATTATTAAATCCCTGTTGAAAATATCAGTTCAAAATCCATGTTCTTCACTTATTTTCCATTGCTTTTCCAACCTTAAATCCACCCATTTTCGAGACTCCTTTTTAAGCCCAAGGATCACACTCACTTTTCGGGCACTGGCGGCCGCACAAAGGGGTCATGTCCTGTGACGGCACTGGCCCTATTGTCGATCCGCTGCTGCTGGGCGGCCTTGTTGAACTTGAACATGGTGAAGGACTTCTTGGCGCTGGCCACCTCACACACACGCACTATGATCTTGCGGCTGCTCTTGAAGACCGTATTCAGGGTCTTATAGACCAGGATCGAGACGGATTTGGAGGCGTGCGGATTGTGATTGTGGCTGGTGTGATGCTGCGTGGGCGGTGGATTTGGCAGGGATTGCTGCTGCTTCAGTTGATGCACTGGAGCATGCGGCGTCGTCGACGCCGAGGATTGTGATCGGGTGATGATTTTACTATCCCTCGGGAGATGATACCGTTCGCACTGATCCCGCTGATCCCGCTGATCCCGCTGTTCCCGGTGGCAGCTGATGATGAGCTCCGGCTCCGGATGCGACGGTGCCGGATCGCTGACCTCGCTGGTTGTGTCCTGTGGGATGTGTATTTTGTTGTTTGTTTTCGTTTTGTTTTGGGTTTTCATTTTTGAACAAAAGTTGAGTAGTGGCCACAAGGAAATGGAAAGAAATATGCGATAAAGATATATTAATCCAGAAACGAGTTATTTGGCGCAGCAAACGAAACGAAAAACGACAATTTGATAGAAGCGCTTCGTGGATTTGTAAAATGGATAAATCATAAGCTATATAAGCTATATCTATGTATATATATCTCCCCGGCAGTTGCACTTGCTCAACAATCGTTCAAGGAGTGTAAATCAACTGAGGTTTAATTATTATATGCTGTAAAAGACAATCACAAAAGCATTTTGATGGGGAACTTGGACAAGTTCCTTGGATTGTTTTTCATTGTGAATTTGGGTGGTTTTTGTGGCTCTGTGAAACGGAAGCGGAAATGTCAAGGATAAAAGTATAATCGAAATGAAGGAAAGTCGTTTTATAAAAGCATGCTTTTCGGTCATACGCCAATTTTTCAATTCAACTAAACTAATTTGCAGCCAATTTTGTATAGAAGCGTAATCTAGAAAATTTGCATAATAAAATTTGTGTGAAATTCAAACTGAAAATAAGTTCAACTAATTTCAGCGTGTCTGGAGTGTTTTGAACATTTTTTTGCAGCCAATTGGATTTTTTTTTGAAAAAAATCATAAATTGTATTTTGCTTTTGGAGCACAGGTTGTGGGTTTTTTTTTATTTTAGCTTTGCTCAGGTGATTTGATTTGCTCTCAAATTTGCTGACTAATTTTTAGTTTTTTTTTTGCTCCGCTCAATAACTTGAATTGCTGATGCAACGAAAGCAAATTTACCTACCGATCGCGATCGCCTAGGCAAAGTTCGCTACAGTCCAAAATTGCACGACACCTAAATCCGTGATTCGATGGTTACAGAAATTTAGTTACACAATTCGATTTATCAGGGTTTTTATTTTGCGGGGCTTTAATGGTTGATTGGTGGGGGCAGGGACAGGTTTGTTGATGAATTGTGATGCTTGACCCCAGTTGGATTTCAATTTGCAAGCTTATATCTACATAATCTATTTGATTTTACGGCATTCAATTGAAATCAGAAATCAACCAGATGGTCAATTCGATTAGTGTTTGAAATTTGCTTGATTTTCACAGTGAAATTTCCCAGTAATTGAAATATATTTTGGGGGAAAAATGCCCACCTAAAAGTGTCTGTGTTATATTTGCTTTACTTTTATTCTCGATTTATATATACAAAGATTGAAAATATATTAATTATAAAAATATTTCCTATATATTTATAAAATTCAGACTTCAGTTCTTAAGCGGAGAAATATATATATAATTACTGTCTTTGAACAATGTCTGTTTACTTTTTGAATTTATAATAATAATCTATTACCTTTTTTTTATAAATATATTATAAAACCAAAGAAATCATTGATATTAATTATTTCTTCAAATATCTTGATTATTGTTTCATTTCCTTTACCTCTTCTATAAATATATTTTAAAACCAAGGAAATCATTGATTTTATTTTGTACTCTTTCAATATATTAATAATTCTTCAATAAATTATATAGAAAATATAGCAAACATTACGGAAATGAACGTTGTACTTATTTTCTATCTTTTTATTTGTTTCTGTATAGTTTTCTCACCATTTCAGTTTAAATAAAATGACTTCCTATAATTTAAAATTTATTTAATGCATATATAATATTTAATCTCTTTCAAAAGCTTTCCCCAAAATCAGATAATTATTAAAATCTTTACTTAATGTTCAGCAAAAAGCTGACAATTTTTGTTCAATTTCCACCTCAATCGCATGTGCTATGACATCCTTTGACCAGAGCTCTCCTTTCACCTGTTCTGTTTTTAACCGGAACAGCAATTAAACCATCTAACATCTAACATGATAGATCAGATTTCCATTTCAAATGCCGCCGCCGCTTCTGGTTTTTGTTAATTAAAAAGTACACGCCCCCTTGAAACATGCGAAAGTTTTTGAAGTTATTTTAGCAGAAAGCAAATGCGTTTTGCAGTTCAACGAATGTCCTTCACACGGTGAGAAGTAAACCACAGGCATACATATATGGCAAAACAAACACAATATAAAAACAACAACAACCACTATACATACTCGCGCTGTGCGGCGGAAGAACAATGGAAAGGACTTTAATAGACGCTTAAATAAATCATACGCCCCGTATGCCGCGCACATCTACCCTCGAGTGTGTGTGTGAGTGTGTAAGAGCTGCGTGACATTGAGCTCTATATAGAGTGTGTGTATAAGCCAGGCAACATTTTTGCACGTGTTTGTAGCACATTCCCCTCCCTACCTCCCTCTCTCCCGCCGTCCCATTTGTCTAATTGTCTAATTCTAATTTTAAATTGTGTTTTTTGCAAGTTGCTGTTGTTGCATGTGCCTTGTAGGTTGATTTAATCGTATTTGTTCTTCCTTTTACCAGCACCACAACCCCGCAGGTCATTTATCTAATCAGGGACAGCACACAAATGCTCAAAGTTTGTTTCTGCCTTTTACTTTCAAGACACTTTATTGATTTTCCTTTTGGGAGCGGTGTAAGTGGGTTTTGCTTTCTTATATTTTCTTTCTTGCCTTTCAGGTGTGCAGCAAAGAAAACCCCGTCTCTTAACCCCCTTTCACCTGTCCGGGTGTCAAATTCATATTCATATTCACATTCACATTCACATTCACATTCACGAATCACGATATGCTAGTCAAGCTTTTGGCTTATTCTTCACTTTGATTATTGCATTATCCTGTCCGTCAGCTGGCTTGTTTGTTGCAAATTAAATTGTCAATTTGGGTAAATGGCCAAAGAGAACGCAATGTGTGGAACGTGTTCAACTGGAAACCCCGATGTCATTAATCAATATTTACTGGTACTTAACTGGGGCTAAGTTTCGCTTTGCTGCTTCAGACATTAATTATCGGCACTTTAATTGAAACGCTTTTGGCTGGGAGCTTACTAGCAAAGATATTACTCATGCTGAGAGTTAAAAATAGTAGGTTGGAAATGTACCCATGCCCTTAGTCAATTACTAATTGTTTTGCCGGATATTAGAAATGGGTTTAAGTTTAAAATTGATAAGGAAGTTCGGTGAAAAACAGCAGCGGAAAATGAGCATTTATTTTAATTGATAATTTTGAAGGTATTTCATTTTGTAAGCAAATTTACAAGAGAAATATTTCTCTCATATTTTCTACTTCCTTAAGCACTGGTTTTAAGCTTCATTTTCCACAATTTATCTCTCAGAACAAGACCATAATTTCCAGTATTACATGCCACCCATCTTGTTTAATCTTTCACCACAAATTACTGCCACCGAAATAGAATTGCACATTAAAAATGATGACGATGATGATGAAGATGGAGAAATGACAAAGCTCCGAGTGGCACCTGCTTTTGACGATTTTCCAGGGGGAGTTTTTCCACCCTTCAGCACTTGATCAGCACTTTCCACAACCTCCTTGGCTTCATCATGAATGCACTCATTGTTGATTGGGTCAGACGGATTTTAATAAATAATTAAATAGTTTCGTGAATGTTGTCACAAAAGTTTGCCAAAGAGTTGTCACCAAACGCCGCGTGCCATGTAATGGATTAGAAAATTTTCAGAGGACCCAAAAATTAACTTTTACAACAAAGTTCTCAAAAGTTTTTACACCCGCTGACGCGACGAAGCGGTAATATATAAATTACTAAAAATATTTAAGCCAATGAGAAAAAACGCGGCCAACACGGTTCACGGGTCGTCCGTTAATGAAGGTGCGATTCGAATATCGTTTCGTTTGGGGGCGAAAACTATGAAATTCTTCATTCCAGTCCGGAGACCGAGGTGTGTTTTTTCAGGTATTACTCGTATATAAGGCCAGGTCGGTATGTATATACAAACATATGTATATATAGAAAGTGAGCCCCACAAATGTTTGCGTGCCCATATCGCCCTCTTGATTTGTGGTTGTATTTGTGGTCGCCCCTTTAACATTGTCTGTCCCGCTTTGGTCTGTGCGTTTTTTCCCCTTCTAACTGGATTATAAAAATTGATTTTTAATTTTTATGACAATTTCCAACTGACTCACGACGATGAGAGCCGCTCGTCGTTCGCTTGGCATTCGCCAGGAATGTCGGCTATGTATTCATTCCACTATTATATTTTCTCCTCTTCCTTGGCCAAAACCGAGCTAAACCTGCTAACCAATCCCCTGCTTGAACTTGGCATGTCAGTTTGTTTGGCTAACAATGTATGGATAATTTACAGTGGGCTCAAATTACTGGGGTCTTGGATCCCAGGGGGACAAGGTCAAGTTCAGTTTGTTTACTGGTAAAGAAAGGTTGTGAGGGAAGTACCAACAAATTAGTGGGTATTGCAAATTGGGTAGTAAGTAATAAACAAAAGAAGATAAACTATTTTTCCCTAACTTTAACTACTAATTAAGGGAATTGTTGAAAAAATTCAACATTCAAAGATCGAAGTAAGGCTTCATGTTTTTACAATGTTTAAAAACTGTAAAATCTGTGGTCAATTTAACATACTTTAATTTTATTTTTAAGCATATAAGTATTTAAATAAAATAGGAAATATAATTATTTTCCTTATTTTAAATACCAGTGATTGAAATCCATTATATAAATCCATTTTATAATATATCTCTCCTAGATTTAAATAATAGCTCAGATCAGAAGTTACAAAACTACTAATTTTTAAGTCATGAGGCCACTTTTTTATTAAAACTATAAAAAGATGTATATTATTTTTGTAAATTTTAAATACAAAATAAGTGAATTGATCTGTATTAAACTTTCTTCTAGATCTATGTATATAGAAGCCTTAGATTTCGAGAACTGTCGATTTTGTGTTCATTTAGACCTACTTTAGTTTTTTTTACCAAATCTATATTATTTTATTTTACTTTAAAGAAATAAAATAAATTGTTATAATTCTTTACTTGTTCTGTTACTGAAATGAACCCTTTAATGATCAACTTTTCCCCACTGTGCCATGTCCGCCATTAAAATGGTGTGTGTGTATTTGCGGCACTTCGTGACACATTAATCATGACCCGCTCAACGACTGTTTACCTTCGTTCTGACCAACACTAGCCCACCTCTACACCCACACTTACACCCACCCTACACCCACATCCACACCCACTCTGGCTTACTCCCACTCCATTTTCCATTACTCCCAGGACATTCGACAGTATGCAAATATTACAGTTTGTTTGCTTTGCCGGTTTGATAGCTCCATATGGAAATTGGAAAACTTTTTACGCGCTGGCCTCGCGTGAAGCCAAAATGAAATAGAGGAGAAAAGCGAGGAGCGATGGAATGAAATTGGAAAATGGAAGCCATTTGGCATGGTCAGTTGTCCTTTTAGTGCGTGTGTCCTTTTAATAAATATATATTATAACATACGGTTAGACTTCCATAGAATGGAAACTTTAATAGATAATTTGGGGTTAATTATTGGGAAAATTAATGCTCTACAATTGACATTTTGATGGAAATGCTTATGACATTTCAAAATTATACTACACTTAACAGTTTAAAAGTTGAATTTTATTTAATTCCATCAACAAAAGCTATTAGTTCTCCTCTTATTTAATTGTAAGACAGATTTCAGCTCCAGCTAGAAGCTTTAATTATTAAATAGCTCTTTATATATATATTATAATTAATTGTATAACATATTTACTTGTCTCTGCAAATTAGTGTTAGACCCAAGGACATTCTACTGTATGTTTATTGTATATATTTTTCACTGTCTGTCCGGACGGGCTGGCGCCAACAATCGTAATGGATCTCCCGGTATGGGAATGGGCTAAGGATGGTTCTCCCTTGGTCACCGCCCTTTGAGAAGGCTGAAAGTCAACTGCGTCACTGTTTGGGGGGAGGCAAGGCAGCACCCATTTTCCCGTCACTTTCCCTGACTTTGGCCAGGCCCATTTCCAGTGACCTTGCATCATTAAGTTAATTGCTCAAACAGTCGTCGGTCCGTCCAATTGCCGGGCTGAATTATTCAGTTGTTCTGCTCGGCCAACTGGCAATTTTGCGTCTTTTCTAATGTCACCACAGGCTCATATACATAGAGCTGCACTGGAAATGTCACCCAGAGTTTTTCCGCAAAAGGGGGGAGGGGGTCTGGTGAAAATCCCCCCACGTGCATTCGCTGTGGTCGTTGGCCCGTTCACGTTGTCTCCGCTATTTTTTGTCACGTGTCACGGGGCTTATTCTCCACGACAATTTACACATTTTTTGAAAAACAAAACGTTGAGATACAGATACAAATCCATGACCAACCATTCGAATTCGTGGCAAACTAATTGGATTGAATAGTTTTCCTGCTGAGCTTTGTCAGCAGACATTTTTTGGTATATATATAGTTTTCATATTTGAGAATTCATCGAAGGGGAAAATTTATGGTATAGAATAGCGTTTGTTTGCAATACATACCTGCATCGTCTTATCCAGTATGAGATGACAACAATTCCACCCAATATTAAACCTCCTAAGGCACACCAAAATAGGGTCTGAAAAATGAGGAAAATTGGAAAGATTTATCAAAAGGATTTGAGATTTCGTAAAATATCTTAAACAAGTATAAAGTTATTCCTTAAAATTACTAAATAATCATAAAAAAAAGCTTTAACTTGACCAAGTTTAAATGTGTTTAAAGTTTCTAGTTAAAGCTACAAAGATTATTCTTTCTTTATTATTTATTTACATTTACCTAACTCAAAAGTAATAAATTATTTGTTATCAGTTGACCTTTTAATAATCGTTTTTCATTGCTGGCATAAAAAGGTCTTTGCCCTAACCACAAAAACTTTTCTAAATTTAGCTTTGCTTAAGCAAAAAGTTCTCCGAGTTCACTTGACATCTTCGTTGGCCAACTTAAAAGGTTCATTAGATTTTTCCAACCAAACTTTTCAATCAGCTTTCCCCTTGGTCTCTTTTTTTAATCAAATTGTGTATTTCTTGTTTTCACGTTTCGCGACGAAAGGAGGTTACAAATCATTTGCGAGGGAATCTTTTCAATTTTATGGCCAGACATTTTATGGACAAGTCAGACCCAGATTCAGAATCCAGATCCCGGAGGCGGATCATCAATTTTGCAGCCAGAAATGTCAATTGCAGTTGACATTTCGGGTCAGAGACGAGGCCAAAGAATGTCAATCCGGAGACAAGGCGATAGAAATCAGATTCCTCGTGTGGGAATCTGTCGATTCATTGTGGCTAAGAGAGAGAGGGAACCACAAATGATTTATTGACTATATGTCTGGGATGGGTCATGAAATATGCATCACCAGGAAGCCATCTGAAGGAAGGAAGGAAGAAGCCAGCGAAGAAGACATCTCTTTATCTAAGTTGGTCAATTAAATGAATTGCTTTCGAGTTGAAGTTTAACTCTTTGCAATGAAAATGTCAAAGAATAAATGGTAAATTTGAATGAATCTTCGTTTAGAGAAAGCAAAGGCTGATAAAATATTGTAAAACATGTATTAAAACTATATACTTCTGGCTAAGTCTGTGTAATATTGCGGTTAGTTCCTTAGTTGCTCAATTAAATAAATTACCATCGTCCTTAGCTTTTAACCCTTTTCCATTTAGTCATGAGAAAGATTGAGAGATGGGGACCCCGACAATTGTGTAATTTTCCGAACAATTTTGAAGCAATAAAATTCTATTGCCAGGACACACACACTCGAAAGGCAGCCATTGTCTTGAGCTCATCCTGCCTCCGATGGCACTTCCTGCCCGCCTCCTGGCATCCTGCCAGTTTAGAGACAATGCCCACATCAGGCCCCATTTTCAAGCACTTTTCCGCCGGCTCCACTATATATATTCATTTTTGGCAACGACTTTTGGCCTAACATTTTTATGCCCCGATAATTGCAAACCGCAAAAAGGAGTTGTCAAGTTTTGTGGAAATTATAATAATAAAAAATAAATACTAGAGAGTTCAAGGTCTGTACTCACAATCCAGTAGTGCGTTTCAGTATGTCTGCTTGGATTCAATTGCATCGCACGTTCCTTTCATCTAAGAGCACGTCACAGTTGGTTTTGCTGCAAGAGACACAAGAAACAAGACACTAAGTTAAATTAAGATGGGAATTGAAGCTAACAAAGTATCGGATTGGCAAGTTTCTGCAAAAGCTTCCAGCGGAAATATTGTTTGCATACTCGTATCTCAAAGTTTATCCTGAGACTTGGAGTTAGTTGCGAAAAACGGATTAGATTACAGAAGATGTTAAAATGTAGTTACACAGAGGGAAATATCTAGAATATTTTGTAGTATATATCTATGAGGCAATAGAATGAAAAACTTCATTGAAATTTATATATTTCGAGTAAGCAAAGATGTAACTAATTAATGTATATATATCTGGGATTAATCTTTATATATTCAAAGCAATTAATCATATATTTTCTTCAAGTGTTGCCCAGAAGTTACTCAAAGTAAGGAAAAGAAATCTCTCTTAACCTTAACAGCAGAAATCTTACTGACTACTTCTGCTTCTGTTTTGATTAGCCCCCAAAATTCTTGTTGCCTCGTTAATCGGCACATTTCCCAAAGTCCTGTTCCTGTAATTACACATTTATTGATTTGTTCTTGGCCCGAATATAATTGCCAAAATAGCCAACAATGCCGCCCACTCCGTTGATTGAGTGAGCTCAGCTGGGCCAACAGTGAACGCGATTAGCTCAGCTCATCGAATTTTAAGAGCACTTTGTTCAGATTGGAGCTGGATATTTCGTGGGCGGATGTCCTGGCAAAAGTTGCCATCCCAGATTCAGAGCGACCCATTGCGTTTGATTTACAAGGACTTGTTCAATGGAGCGTTCTCAATGTCTTAGTGGACGCCGTTTGCCGCCTTCGCAATTAATGTCATTGGAGATGGTCCGAAAAATATGAAGAGCGAAAGTAGAAAGACATCTTTTGGCTTAAACGCTTTTCGCTTACTTTTGGCATTTCCGCAGGACGTAGGGTAAATGGCAAATGGCAAACTGTTGATTTCTCCCCGGATATTTGTCAGTCAGTCAGAAAGTCAGGTTCCACGGGACACGCGTCTGAACTTTGAACTTTTTGGGGGAATAAAACAAAGTACACACACTTTTATGGGCATATGGCACACTGTTTGACATTAATTTATGTAGGAAAAATTTAGAAGCATGGTAGGTAAACGGCACAGTTAGGTCGACTTTTACTACATTTTTGCTCAAAAACTTTTAAGGAAAACTGAAAATAAATACTTGAAACATGAGGCTAAAGTTTTTACTTTGTTCTAACTGATTCAAATTGACTTAAATAACCTGCTGTGGCTCCTAATTTATGCAAGACAAGGCAAAAACTTTTGGAATTTACAATATATTTTGAGGAATTTGATGTAGGAAAACTAGAGGTATAAGATTTGACAAGGTTTTATGTAATAAATACATATAGCTCATATATTTTCTTAAACCCTAACTAAAGTTAAGTTAATGTTGCTGAAGGTATTTCTATTACCTTGGAAGGGTATTATAATTATATTCAGAAGCTTGTAACGCTGTGAAGGAGTCATTTCCGACCCTATAAATCATATATATACTTGACCAGAACCAACAGCCGAGTCTATCTAGCCAACTCCGGAAGAAAACATTTTTTTCTTTTAATTTTTTCAAAATTTCAAAATTTTATAAGGGATTAAATTGAGCTTGCAGATGTATTACCCCGACAAAAACTAACATAGAAAAGCTTTCCAAATTAAAATTAATGCATTTTTGTCTTATTTCTGAGATTCTTTAATTTGGATTTGTCGATAAAATAGTACTATAAAAAAAACGATAAATATCTGTTCAAATGCGAATAATTAAGCTTAGTTATGATCGATTTTCAATTCGATCCCTTAATTCAATTGTAGAGTATATACAATTCGGTTTCTTTTCTTTTCAAAACTATAATCTTTGACTAAAGTTGAGTTTTACATATATTTGGCGACTCCTTGACATTTATTTGTTTACACTAATTCTAATGGAAATAAATGGTTGAAATGAAAAATTTTTTAGTATATTTTGCCAAAAAACTTTTGACCTACAACTATAAAAGAAAACTTACAAGGCGTAAAGAAAACTCTTTTTACTTTAAGTTATATAAATTCTATCAAAAATTTATTGGTCACAAATTAATATCTAAAGAAAGAACTATAACAAATGAGGCTTGATCTTGATATATTGATCCTCCCTCTCATTCAATAACTCCTGGTCCCCTTTCCACTTGACCTGATATATCGATTCTGTATATTTCCTGTACAAAAAAATATGCAAATTCTACCAACTGACTCTTGAAGTGTAATCAATGTATTCTCTTTATTTTTGTTCCTTATTTTCTCTGCAAGGCTCTAGTGGCGTTAAATTTGCATAGTGGCACTTGCGTGCATTGCATAAATGGATTTTCCACTCTCCAAAAACCCAAAACGGCAAAATTATGCAGAAATAGTAAAAGAAAATGTAGTTTAAGAGGCAAACCGAGTGAAGGGAGCATTGATTTTAAGTGTAATGCGTACAAATGTTCCAATGGAGGTCATTCCTGTGTGAAATTGATAAAGCGAAAATCGGATTTGCTTTGGATTGCAGTTAGTTTATAGGTGATAAGGTTTTATAGGATGTATTGGAAGTTAAATTTGGAAAATATCAAGAAGAGAAATCAATAAGAAAACATCTGTAACTGATTTTAGAAACTGTAAGAGTTTCTGCATTTAATACTTTTCATAAACCTTTTTAAAACTACTTAAACATCTTTCACAAAAACTAGTTAATTTCACATGAAAATATCTCATTTCCTGCTGCTCGAAAAAAAGGTCGTTAAGCTTGTTTTTCATTTCAATAAAACGAAATTAGCAATTAGAAATCCAGTAGCCGCAAAATCAGGTAATCAAGCTTGATGACAAACGATCAACGACTGCAGTCGCCACATTTGCCTTTTATTCCCCAGGCTCTGATGTCGTTTTTATGCCACACACACATGAATACTGTCAACGTCCCATCAACAAACACATCGTCAAACACACAGAGCCCACACCACTTTCATACTCAACTTCCCCTCGAATCACCAAATGTGTTGGCATATGTTATGAAATTAACGAGTTTACTTTATGCGGGCGGCATTATAAACAGGCAAACAAAAATGGCCTAATAAAATTGTCAATAATGCGACAGCCACACACTTGTACTCACACACGAAGCGGAAATCAAATAAGGGCCAAAATGGGTATGGAAATCGGCAAGGCTGACGACAAGGACATTACTCATACGCAACGTGTGCACGCTTCGTGTGGAAATCAACTGCAGCTGACCAAAAATCAGTGTCACTTTCAGCGGGTTCATTTATCATCGCTTTCGCCCTTGGCAGGAGACAGGACAGGAATTGGGTGGAGGTCCTAGGAGGTCTTGGGTCCCTGTCATGTTGAGCCAGTCAACGTGATTTGTCTCAACGCCAGTCAAATCAAACCTTTTTTTTCCCTTCGAAATGTGATCCTTTGGAGGAACTAACACTGCGGGAAAATTATCTAGAAATTAGGTTTACTTGTTTCTTTAAGATTAAGTAAACATTGTAGAAAATTTTTAGCATATGAAAGTTATTTTAAAGCTTAATAACCTTTAAATATCTCATGTAACTGCTGTAAAGAATTTGCAATTTCTTTATCTACTTTAAACGTATATACCATATAAATTTAAAAACCAATAAGACTAGAATCTTTTAGAAATTATGTTTACTTGTTTCTTTAAATTAAGTAAACATTATGGTAGATTTTAAGCATGTTTAAGTTATTTTAATTCTTCATAAAGTTTAAATGCTCATGTCATTCCTGTAAAGTATTTACAATTTCTATATCTACTTTTAAACGTATCTACCATATAAAGGTATAAACAATTAAGACTAGTTTATTTTATGGAGAGTTAACACTGCGGGAAAATTATCTAGAAATTAGGTTTACTTGTTTCTTTTAAATTAAGTAAACATTGTAGAAGATTTTTAGTATGTTAAAGTTATTAAAAGGCTTAATAACCTTTAAATTTCCATGTAATTGCTGTAAAGTATTTACAATTTCTATATCTATTTTTAAAGTATCTATCATATAAAGTTATAAACAATTAAGACTAGTTTCCTCTATAAAATTTTCTTGATTTTCTTCCTGTATATGGAAAAACCGCACCCATTTCTCAAGGGGGTGCAAGTGGCAAGTGAAAACTTTCAAGGCTCTCACACTCTTACCTCCTCTGCTGTTGCGTGTAAACTCATAATTTGGCGGCACGGCGAAAAGTTTTCGCTTAGAAATTCGTTGTCGCTCAATTTGATGCGTGCAAATGGGCGTTAAGAGTGTGTGTGGGGAGGGGGCGTGGCATGCCATGCTGCGAAATATCATGATTATCGCTTGCAAAAACATTAATTAGAAGGTCATTCATTGGCGAGCAGCAGCGAGAACTGTTGGTTTAATAATATTAATTAAGCCATTACGTTCTACTTCCAGTTTTGTGTTGAGCTAAGTGTCAATGGAATGGCATTACGAAACGTAATTGGTACAAAATATAATGCGACTCTGAAGAAAGAGAGAGAAATGGAAAGGAAGTTGGTAGTTTTTGGAGGGGGATAATTAGGAGCACTTAGTCTTTAAGAGGTTATATTAGTTGGGTTTTCCGAAAAGCAAAGTGCTTCCTGTGCTAGATTTTTAGTTTTTTAAGGAACATGCAACATTTTGTTTAGAGTTGATTAAGGTTTAAGGACCTTTGTTTATATTAAAATGTAATGCTTTAGAATAAGTATTCTCAAGAGCTCTTCTATAGATCGTTTCCTTTCTTTTTCATGCATTTTAATCCTTAGTTTTCTGAACAATTTACCCAAGATATCATATATCCTTAAAATAATCTCTGAGACTCCGTCTGGTGACATTTTATCGAGCATTTAGGTGCAGCTCTGATGGGGTGTGAAAATGCTTTCCTCGCATTTAGTTCTCTCGCATTAGCCATTTCTTACGGCTCATCTCTCGCATTTTCCTCCATTTCCGCAGACCAATGGCCATGGTAATGGC